AGATATGTTTTTTCAGGGAGAAATCCCAGCAAGCAACAGATAATAAAAAAACAAGGCCTCAAATTATGTAGGGGCAGAGAGGGAGAAAGAAACACGGTGCAGAGCTGCTTCCTAAATCCGGGTCCAGAGAGTGGCCCAGAGAGTGACCCAGGCCATGAGGAAAGAGCTCTGGCCCTGAGAGCCGGTCTCAGGGAGTCGGCATGCAACGCTGTCCCCTGAAGAGCTGCTCTAACGGGAGTGCTCCAATGCTGCTGCTGAGCGGAGCTGGAAAATTTCCTGGCATGGAATCCTAAGCGAGTCATTCTTTCCTTTCCCTCCCTAACGATTCAAGGGCTGGATCTGACAACTGTTCAGAACATCTGAGGTGAGAAGCCGGGCACTGGGCAGAACCAACAGCGATATTCAGGAGCAGCCACCTTCTACAGATCTTTTTCCAGCAGGCAACTGGTTGTCTTCCAGTAACAACTCTGGTAATTAAAGCACTGTTCTCCTGGGCTCCTTCTTTTGTTAACCAACCGAATCCTCTAATCCCTAAAGGAGCCTGGCACTGTCAGCGGACTCTGCTGCTAATCGTTAAATATCACCTCTGTGGTCTCCGAGTGCAGCAGGGAAAATGATGATCTGCTTGAAGGCACATGCAGAGAAGTGGCATTCTGAAATCTCAGCCTCCTACGTTCAAGAGGCTGAAGGGCTCTGATCTAAACCACCACCCACGAGGAAGCCCACAGTCAGGAGGCAGCTGCCTCCAGGCAAGGCAGTCCCTCGGTGCCACCTCCAGATCCTCTTCTGGGGAAAGGCAAAGGGAAGGGAGGGAAGTACGTGAAGGTCTTGTGGGTTTAACTTGTAAACAGGTGGGGCCAGTCTAAGACACTCACAGAGATGGTTCCTTACCCAGGTACTTTTTCATAACATTAAAAAAAAAAATCAGTTAAATTTTTTTTTTTAAAAAAAACAATTATTACCACTACATTTGTACAGTGCAAAGGAACTGAAAGAGCTCAATATTTCTGCCAACACTGAACACTGTAATGAGATTTCCTAAGCTCTGTGTTGTTCTGGTTGATGAGCTCAGTCACTTGCTGATCCCACCCTGGCCCCACCTCCACTCAGACGTCTGGACCTAAGGTCCTGCCACAGCTTTTCCTGGGCCGGCCCTCTCCTGCTGCACGCAGACTACTGAGTCTTCGCAAAGCCCCGCTAGTGCCTTGCCACTTCTTCTCCAAACTGGCAAAGGTTCCTCAGGGCCTAAGGAACAAAGACCCAGCTGCTTGACCACTTCTTCTGAGCCTTTCTCTGTGTTGCTGGAAGACCCTTCTACCATATTCCCCTGCCTCACGGCCTTTGGCTTATGTCAAACACAATGGCCAGTTTTCTGTTCCTCAGTGTTCTCCTGCCTGCGGGGTGAGCCCCCGAGCCCCGTACACCCCCACCTCCTCCATGTCCAGGCCCTAGTCCTCCTCATCACTCAGAACTCAATTCATCACATTTGCTGCCTTTTTCTCCATGAAGCCTTCCCTTCACTCCACTCCCCCACTACTGGGCGGCACCATACTGTTTTCACCCCTATACCTTTTCATTCCCGCCTCTGTGCTGGCACGTACAGGCTTCCCTGAGTTGTAACCACACATGGGCCCACCCAACTTGCCGAAGTACGTGCTCATCTCATCTGGGAGTACCCCATAGGTCTAGGACAACATCTTGAATAGGTATTCAGTAAACATCTGATGAAATGATTATTTCCGGAGAATTAAAATTCACCTGAAATTAAAAGGATAAAACTTTTAAGAAATGGATACCGAATTATCACTTTCTTATTTTGCCAAGTAAGGTCATTAGAAGTAACTGCCTCCTGATCTCATCATTATTTTGTAAATGACATTTTATCTCCAAAAAGGTAAACAAAAAAAGTTCTTTGATTACATTTACTGTTACGAAAAATGGCTACATTTATTTCTCATGGGCCAGTGAAAACGCAATCCATGTGCTGACGTTTGGAAGTGGCTGCTCTGAAGGTGAGTATCATGGACTGGTGGCTTCGGAAGCCCCTGAAAATGCTTCCTCACTCAGCAGCTTTATTTACAAACAAACAAGCAAACAACCTTTTACTTGGCTATGAAATCTACAATGATAACCAAGCTAGCCATATCTTTTTATATCTTAATACATTTTATCTTTTATATATACTTTATCTTCATCTTTATTTATATTTTATCTTCATAGACACCCAAATAGATACACTTTCATTTTCCCTGCTTTACAAATGAGGCAACCGAGGCACAGTGACATGAAGCCATGTGGCCAAGTTCAGTTTCAATGAAGTCTAAAGGCCCTTAACCTTAGACTCTGCTGTGCTGCTGCTCTAAAAAGTCTGACAGTCATGGTTTAATGCACTAACAGGAAATAGCCATCTAGATTTTTTTAAGCGAGGGGCGCAAATTTGGGTTATCTTTGATCTCTGGAATCTCTGGAGTTCAATGCAATAGCATCTTAACCCTCATACCTGGACTTTCAGCAGTTATGGCTGAAGAACACAAAAGATCCCTGTGCATCCTGATAACAACAGGATGCCAGCCTTCCCAGCTCAGGGTAGAGCCCCCACCCCAGCACCCATGGACTACAGAACTGCACCTGCTTGAAGCAACTTCAGGCGCACCCAAATCAGAAGCACATTTGGTAGCCGTAAGTGAAGATTTAGAATTATGTACATGTCTATAGAAACACTTTCTGCTTCCTGTACCAAGAACAACCTCTATGACGACATGAGATAGACACTGGGAGCCTACAACCATGAACTCTCCCCACCTCACTACCTACTTACCATACCTCACACCACCCACCAGCTTGTGATATAGGAGAAGCCCTCTGGCCTACTTTTGGCTCTAGGTGACATATGTCCCAGAAATGTGCCAATAAGTGGCCTTCACCTGCCTCTTGATCCAAAAGCAGTGATGCCTGAGTGTAGACAAGGCAGAGTCCCTAAAGAGATACGGGCTCTGCCCCAAAAAAGATGTTTGCATACACCTACTATACAAAGCATCTTTCCAAACTGCTTCCAGCTAGAAGTATGTATTTAAATCCGTGGCTCCGAACTGTGGCTCAAAACCATACAGGTGTTGGCGGGATCCCAGGGTGGGTCTGCTGAACCTCTATGACCTTATTGCTACCCACTGCAAGTAGATCTATTAAAAAAAATTATATTCATTGATCAAGCAATAGATAACTATTCGTTTGCTTGCTTGTTTGTAAATAAAGCTGCTGAGTGAGGAAGGGCTGACAGTGGCTTCCTAACTTCCAACTTAACTAAAAAATAATAGTAATTAAAATAATTTAAAAATAAATAACAGATTTAGAAACCACTCATTTGAAGGCAAAGATTGAGACCACTGCAAAACAGTCTAAAGCCCAGGCTGAGCTGAAAGACTCCCACCACAGGTGGGGAATCACCCCGGTTTCTGGCCTGGAAGCCCTGGGCAGTTCTGACACGATTTCACTTACATGGAACCCACACACGACGGCCCCCTTGGAGGTTTTTATTTCTAAACTTCTTGGAGGTTTATTTCTTGTTTTACTGAACTGTTTGTTTAAATACAGGCTGTAAATATTTTAAGTGTAATAATGCTAATACCAGAAATATCTTGTTTCCTCAGTAGAGCCTCCCAAACCCCAAGAATTCATTTGTTGACATCACTTTTCTTTCCCACAAGCTGAACACTTCATTATTTCCTGAATTCATTTTATTAGAGTTCAGAAACAGGGCAAGCGGGATTTCACTGCCGTTGGTTCTATCGCTACCTCACCTTTCTTGATGTTTTCTAGTTCCTGTAACAAAATCACAATTCTACCAGCAAAGGGGGAGACGAAAGAAAAAACGAAAGCCATAAAACTGTTAAAACTACCATTCTCTATCTCGTCAACATTTTTCTATTTATTGGCCTTTCATTATATGTGCAATCTTATTATCCCTGCACAGCATCAAAGTGACATCCGTCAGGGTCACCCTATAAAATATACATCAGCAATGTAACATTTAATGACGGGAGCGGGACGAACGATGAAGGAGAGAGCGAGGCCTGCCGCAGGACATTTGAAAGGGATCATCAGTTATATCTGTGCATTTCCCGAGGTGATAACTGAATGACAGGGGCTGGAGGGAAATCCATTTTTGAGCTCAGAAAAGATACTTAGGAGAAAAATGTTTTTGTATTGGAAGCATGTAATGACTGCCAGGAAATGAGAACAGCTACTCTAACAACACTGCTTCTTATATTTTATGGATTTTATGGATGCACAGCAGATTATCATGTATAATCCATTTCTGCAAGTTGAATTTTAAAATTCCTCAATACAAAGAAAGGAAAAGAAAGGGTACTTAATTTTGTCACTGTATTACCTTTAATAAAAGGAGCAGAAACAAAAATTACACTTCAAAGCACAAAAACACAATTACAGTACCGTACCCTCTTCAAGATGTGAACTGTCTCATCTTTCACCTGAATGTTGGACTTAACCTAAAGCAAGTATCTTAGAAAAATTCAGGCAAGCCCGCAAACCAGGCCTCTGCTTCTTTGTGCTCTTGTCTCAAACGTGCGGCCAGAGCCATTCTTTCACAGAGCCTTCCAGCAAAGAAGCTACAGAAAGGAAGGTGAGAGACTGCAGCTATCTTTATGCAACTGCATTGGCTGAACTGTGTCCTCCCTCAAATTCCTGTGTTGAAGTTCTAACCCCCAGCGCCTCTCAATGTGACTTTATTTGGAGATAGGCTCTTCCAAGAGGTGATTATGTTAAAATGAGATGGAGTGAGCCCTAATCCAATATGACCGGTTTCCTTATAAGAAGAGATGAGGACACAGACACCCACAGAAGGAAGACCACAGGAAGACACAGGGACAAGATGGCGTCTACAGCCAAGGAGAGAGGCCTCAGGAGAACCAACCCTACTGAACTTTGGTCTTGGACTTCCAACTTCCAGAACTGTAAGAAAATAAGTTCTGTTGCTAAAGCCACTCGGTCTATGTATTCTGTTATGGCAACCACAGCAGACTAATACAAAAGCCTAAGGACAGGGCTTCATGGTGAGCCTCAAGGAAAGGAGAGGAACCAGCAGAGGAAGTGAGGCCTGCAGAATGAACCTCTAAGCCCTGGGCTGTGAGACGGGGCTCATGAAGCTAACTGCCAGCAGTGAAGATGCAGTCTGCTGGGGGAGAAGAACAGGTGCCAAAGGGTAGAGCAACGTGGAAAATAGCCACATAATTTTCTACTTTAAGTGGGGCCAAACCTCACAGCTTATCCTAGCAGCTCTAAAGGGCAAATGCCACACAGTTCCCTCACAACGGCTGCATTCTGACCCAGGAGAACCAGCCCAACTCCAGAACAGCTCTCAGATGCTGTGGATCTAAGACGGCTGGCTCACATGAAGGGACACGGAGGAAGCAAGAGAACCACAAGATGGGAAGGAAAACTGTTGCCAACAGAACACAAAGGAAGAACCCTCCAGAGTCTCACAGGCAAATGTGTGAGGCTCTCTGACCACCACAACTCTGTGGTTCCAGGGGTTTCCAAGAGACTGCTCTGGGTTCCTCACATCAACAGGCACACCGCAGCTGAGAAAACACACATGACGGGAACCACCAGGGATTGGGGTGTAATTTATGGAAACAGCCAAGGTCTCTGAATCTGTGACTGTGACATACGGGCTCCGAGGATTCTCTCCTGGTATGTATCTAAGTTTCCTCAAAGGTTCTTTACAGAGGACAGCTGGCTCTCCCTCAAGAGGCCCAGGAAGTGTGGGACTGGCAGCGCCACCCCATGCAGGCTGCTATGCATGTGGGGCCCATAGGGGGCACAAGGGGGTCGCTGTCTAGAGACTAGGAAGCTGCTCCCTACCCCAAAGGGAATTTGGAAAAATGATGGAGCTAACTCCCCAGAGGAGAGCCAGGAGCTTCCTTTTCCATTTAACACAGAACCTGAATGCCAGACGGACCTAGACCTCTGGAACACAATGTGTAGCAGGGAAGCCTCTCGGGCTGGGTGGGATCACTTCACCTAACGCAGCACGTATGCCACAAACTCACCACAGCACACCTTAGCCTGCATCAAATCGTGGCAGCTCCTGTTCTGGAGACAAATCACCACTGTTGTCACGATGGGTGACCTCAGTCACCCCCCTCCAACGCCCACCTCATGGCTGACATGGTGTGTGGCAGGAGGAGGTATGTCACTGTGCTCCTAGGACACACTATAACCCCAACCCTCCCACCCACACACATTTATGCTGGGATTGGTTTGTGATGCAAAGGCGCCCTTGGCCCTCTCTTGGGAAGTAACTTTTTCCTTCATGCCCACACTGCAAAAGGCCTCTCTTGGCATCAGAACATCTAACAGAGCCTCAGAGCAAGCCGTGCTGACGATGAGCTCTGCGTCCTCACTGCTCAAGCCTAGATCCCAGACACAACTCCCAAAAGTCAACAAGCTTTCCATTAAGTCAGAGCTGTTTTTCTTTTTTTTGAGATGGAGTCTCGCTCTGTCGCCCAGGCTGGAGTGCAGTGGCCGGATCTCGGCTCACTGCAAGCTCCGCCTCCCAGGTTCACACCATTCTCCTGCCTCAGCCTCCCAAGTAGCTGGGACTACAGGTGCCTGCCACCTCGCCCGGCTAATTTTTTTGTATTCTTAGTGGAGACTGGGTTTCACAATGTTAGCCAGGATGGTCTCGATTTCCTGACCTCGTGATCCTCCCGCCTCGGCCTCCCAAAGTGCTGGGATTACAGGCGTGAGCCACCGCGCCTGGTCTTTTTTTTTTTCTTTTTTAAAACAGTTTTGCTCTGTCGCTCAGGCTGGAGTGCAGTGACATGGTCTCAGCTCACTGCAACCTCCACTTCCTGGGTTTAAGCGATTCTCCTGCCTCAACCTTCCGAGTAGCTGGAACTATAGGCACGTGCCACTGCATCTGGCTAATTCTTATATTTTTAGTAGAGATGGGGTTTTACCATGTTGGCCAGGCTAGTCTCAAACTCCTGGTCTCATGATCCGCCTACTTTGGCCTCCTAAAGTGCTGGGATTACAGGCGTAAGCCATCAAGCCTGGCCCATCAAGAGGTTTTTTTAAAAGCTTGTGTTTCCAGCTGCACACGTGTGTTGAAAGGTTTCTGAAGCTTTCTGCAGTTGGAAACTCAAGCTTTTAAAAAAGCTCTTGACTTTCCAGCTGCAGAAAGCTTCAGAAACCTTTCGACACGAGTCAAAACCCTCAACAATGAAGGAGAACAGAAAGGTAGAGATTTCTCTTTAAGGTGACTTCAGACTTGAGCCCGTAGCCCAGGAGACCCTCTGCTGATGGAGGAACCAAAGTCAGGGCAGAGAGGGGTGTTCCAGAGCTGGACCTTGGGGTCCTGGTCCTGAAAGTGCTCAGTGCTGCTGTAATGTCTGCCAGGGCTTTGGAGCCTCCATCTCCTACCACATTTGGCTTCTTGAGTCCTTCCCTGGGTAAAAGGGACCAATGGTTTTTCCCACATGTCCTGCCTCTGACCCCAGGCTCTCCTTGGGTGCAGACGCCTGGAATGCCGTTCTCCTGGTTGCTGCTGGCCCACCCTGCCAGCTCTATCTGCTGTCATCCACACCGCCTCATACACACTCTTTACTGACCCATAGGAAGCGAGTTTCTGATGCGCCTGTTTCCATGATTACCAACTCTCTCACTCAGCTGTGACCTTTCTGTGGCTCATACATCACTGAGTCCTGCAGGATATCAAGTTCTGTCTCTAACTTGATTCCCCTCCTCCCTTTCCTCCAACTGGACTCTAAACTGCAAGTGAATAGGGGATGTGGCCACTCTAAACCTTGTAACCTGAGCAATCATTAGGAGAGTGCCTGGCACAAGATGGGTGCTCAGGAAATGTTAATTTGAACTGAGATCTATCACAGACACACAGATGTATGAGAATTATACTGCACCAGAAATACATAAAACAGAGAAGTCACTAACAGTCATAAAAGTGAAATAACTTCAGTTTCAGTGATAAGAAATTTGGAAATCTTTCAGTGAACCATTTCAAAACTGAGCTAAATATACATAGATGGAAAATTAGTTATGAGAATCAAAATTCTTCAAGATAATTATTATTTCCCTTAATTTATCTGTACATTATAAAAAACAAAACAAAGAGTCCCTTGATCCATCTAATTAGTTAAGGTTACTCTCAAAATTGAAAATGATTTCCCCAGCTCCGGGGATGCGCAAGTGTGAAATGAGAACAAGAGTCTTACGGGTAGTGTTCCTGCACATACGCGTATGCACTAACGTGCACTTGGAATTTACCAAACACATGTATTTTTTGTTTTACAAACCTACGATGAACCACACAAGCCTTGGCTCGACACTGTTCCAGGGGCTAAGTCTTAACCTGAATTAACCAAGCTGCACTCTGGTCCGATGACACTTTGGCACTAAAAGAATAACTTCCATTTTTCTGAGGCTGAGTGTTTTCTCATTTCATGCTGTGAGAATCCTCTGAACCTGCCTTAAGAGCACTCAGGAAGGTGGTTATAGTCAAAATCTTCCTCTAAGGAGTAGTAATAACACACGACCAAAGCTCAAAAGCAGGAGAAAGTGAGCACCAAATTCCTTCAGTGTGCTGGAGCACACACAGGCTTCCCACAGGCAGATAGCAAGAGGCTCTGGGATTATGCCTACAAGCTAGCCATCCTGCTAAGCTCTTAAGAAAACAGAATGGGCCAGGTGTGGTGGTTCATGCCTGTAATCCCAGCACTTTGGGAGGCTGAGGGAGGTGGATCACAAGGTCAAGAGATCGAGACCAGCCTGGCCAACATAGTGAAACCCCGTCTCTACTAAAAATATAAAAATTAGCTGGGCGTGGTGGCACAGGCCTGTAGTCCCAGTTACTTGGGAGGCTGAGGCAGGAGAATCGCTTGAACCCGGAAGGCAGAGGTTGCAGTGAGCCGAGATCGTGACACTGCACTACTCCAGCCTGGTGACAGAGACTCCATCTCAAAAAAAAGACAAGAAAGACAAGACAAGACGGAAAGGAAAGGAAAGGAAAAAGGAAAAAGGAAAAAGGAAAATGAAAAATGAAAAAGGAAAAAGGAAAAAGGAAAGGAAACAAAAAACAGAACAAGGACAGCCTACTGGGCTGTGACCTGAAGCACCAGTAATGACAGCTCTCTGCCCACCGCAGTGGTCAGTGCTTCCACCAGCTTGGCTCCAGTGATCTCAGGTCCACCTTTGTGCTCACAAGTATCCCAATTTCTTCAGAACCAGGTGGCATTCACAGCTGCCTCCACATGGATGAGGAAACTCAATTCTCAGCTTAGGCCTTGGCTCAGCCGCGCGCACACGTGTGTGTGTGCGTGTGCACACGCATGTTGGGGAAGAATGGGGAAAAACAATGAACAAGCATCGACTGTCTAGCCTTTTTCAACTGGAGTTCTTAAAACGAAGCGACTATTAATATTTTCTCAATTCTCCTACGAATGGAACATAACAAGTACCTTTCTAGATGCACAGGAAAGATGTTAACTACATTACATACAATGGATGCCTGGCTTCTGAGGCTTAACTCTCGGAACACTGAGTGAGAACGGCTGCCACTGGCTGCACGACCTTGAGCAAATTCCCTAACCTCTCTTGGCCTCTGTTTCCTCATTTTAAAAGTGGAGAAAAACAACCACAGGAAGGTTAAGGAACCTCCTTGAGACTCTCCTTATCTAGAAACCTGGGCTGCGTCGCCACGAGCTCCCTCCTTTACAGGGTTGTGGTGAGGATGAAAGTGCCAAAAAGGACCTGGCACACATGCTCAGTAAGTGACAGGATTTTTTCTTAAACATCCTTTTCTATCTGGGAAAAGGACTACAAACTCACAACTAAGTACGCCTTAAAGGACTATTTTAATTGACTGAATTAAAAAAAAAAAAAAAACCTTTCAAAGAATGGTTAATACAACCAACGTCCTTCCTCTATCATGTTTCCCCTAAAACTACAGCGCCTTATGTAGTCAAAGAATAAGGGAATGTTAGAGATGGTGAATGATAACGGTATCTGGGCCCAGTTCACAATCTGAAAGATAAGCACTGGGCAAGGAGAAGAGTATTCTGTCTGAAGATCCCAACTGGAACCAGCCCCACAGCCCACTGATGCAACCTAAGAAGCCCAGCTCCAGCTTCTATTCTTACATAATCGGCAACAGAATGAGGACACACAAGATCATAAACATTTCAGCAGGAATAAAAACTAAACCAAGAGAATGCACCTGCCAATCTATATCAGGCTACGTACTACAGGGTTTGTGAGCCGTCTGTAGCTTTGATGCACAGATTGGAAAGGTCCAGCTTAAGGGACTTACGATGTCCCGTTGTTTAATTTTATGACACCATCACTCCACTCTTAAACGTGTCGAAGAACATACACTTATATTAAAATTTATGCCCAACGGCCAGGTGTAGTGGCTCACGCCTGTAATCCTAGCACTTTGGGAGGCTGAAGTGGGTGGATCACAAGGTCAGGAGTTTGAGACCAGCCTGACCAACATGGTGAAACTTTGTCTCTATTAAAAATACAAAAACTAGCCGGGTGTGGTGGCACGCACCTGTAATCCCAGCTATTCAGGAGGCTGAGGCAGGAGAATCGCTTGAGCCTGGGAAGTGGAGGTTACAGTGAGCTGAGATTGCGCCACTGCACTTCAGCCTGGGTGACAAAGTGAGACTCCATCTCAAAAAATAAATAAATAAAATAAAAAATGTATGCCTACTATAACGAATTCTATTGCCGAATTTCAAAAAAATTTACTTGTGGTAACGTGGGACTCATTAGTGTCACAAACCCCGGAATGAAAACTGGCGGTACAGATGACAAACTCTCTTAGCAGCAAGAAGGTCTAAAGACTCTTTAGGAATTAAGCTAGAAAGAATCTGTGTTTCTGATGCTGAGCATAGGGAACAGGTTGTACAATCAACCGCATCACCCCAAAGCCTCCTTGGGTCTACTGCCTCCTCAGGTCGGGGTTCTACTGTTCATTCCACCTCGTGGCTGTCCCTCTGTCCCTCTAGGCTGTGTGATCGGGAGTGTGTAAGCTGGGATGCACACAGGTGCATCTCTCCCTGAGTCATGCGCATCCTCTTTCTGCTGCTCTAGTTTTTTCTTGCGGGATACAAGGTCAATTGTGTAATGTGTCCCCTCTATAGGGGTAAAGAGATGTGCTGATGTGCTCAGAAAATGAACGTGCTTCTCTGGATGCAATGAGGTACTAAAACACCTACATCTTAAAGGGGCGTAAATAAGAAGAGCAGGGATCCTCTCCTGGGAACTCAAGCAATCATTTAAACAGTGCTGCTCTCACAGAGCAGCAAATAAAGAGGTGAGTGAGATCTGCTTACGGCAACAGCAAAGATGAGCGGTTATATGCTAACTCTAGGTAGGAGTGATGAATACCTGAACTAATGAATATCACTTAAAAATTCTTGTCACATATTATCTGGATCAGAAGGCTGTGACACCACAACCAGATGCTTTGAAGGCATTTTCTCTGCTCCCTCTAGTTAAAAGACAATTAACAGTTCTTCTGTACACTCTTACCTGTTCCAGAAGGCTACTAATAAAGAGGTCGGGTTACTTGTTTTCCAGTCCCAGCTAAACTTTCTGTCTCCTGCTGTGGGCAGGAATGGCAGTGGCATGTCACCAGCATTCCTGAGTGGCAGAGGGCAACAGCTGGCCATCAACATGCCAGTCATGGGCACAGCTCTCAGCTGATGCAACAACCACATTCACTTCAAGGACAATCTAAAATTGAACTTAGGGCAGCACCTGACAAGTCTCTTGTGCTGGCACCTTCCTCCTGGGCCCACCTAAAAGCAGCTGTGCAGGGCAATTTCTGCCAGCCACAGGTCCTGTGTCCTCCATCTTCCTTCCTTGGAATTCCTAGCAAGACTGAGTCAAGCATGGCCTTGGGTCTATACTGTTCTTTAGAGGAAGCACCGAGGAAAATGTATCTCTTGAATTATTCTACTTCTATTTCAGAATTTAACATGTTCACTGTCTAAAATGAAAATGGGTTTCACATATAAATGGGCAATTGAATTAATAATACCAACACCCATCACAGTGTAAGAAATAACTTGATTATTAACTTCTACTGACGGCCCCATGCTTCCTTCTTCAAGAGTTTCAGACTGCCCGTTTGCCCTCTGCCCAGCTAGAGGGTTCCGAACCCTCAAGAGAAACCCTCAGGGAAAGTTGACACTGTGCTTTAAGCAGAAATCATAACTGATCCAAGGGAGACCCTGGATGCAACCACAGAAACCTGAATGGCAGCAGGGGCAGGCTCCCATTTTAAATCCTGCCTTCCATGAATTCACAAAGGCTATACAGGAATCCCCCAGATGCTGAAAGGACCCTGAAGAGTATCAGATAACGATGTACTTCCAGCTCCTGGTGACCAAACAAAACAACGTAACACAACACAACCAACTGTGGCCTCAGAATGCCTGACCAGCTACCTGGAGGGTTTTATTTCTTGAAAGGAAGCCTTCTACCAAAAAAAAAAAAAAAAAAAAATTCCTGGTTCACAGCAGTCAAAAGAACCACAAAGGAGCAGTAGTTTCTAAGCTTCCATGTAGGTGAAGACAAAAATTTTTATAAATTTCATGAATACTTAAATCCCAACTGGTCAAAATATCAAGATATTTAAGAAAACTTGTAGGACTACAATTAACTATTCTCTCCTCACAAATTTTTCTTTAGAATCAGAGAGACCAAAAAGAAAAAAAAAAAAAATTACCACTGCTCCTATATAAATCGTAAGAATAAAATAGAGCCAAGAGAACTTCTTAGGAACCCCTCTGATCCCAAGCCAAGAGATCCTTCCCACATTGATAATGGGCATTATCAATAACGAGAACATTCCTGAGGTCCTATGAGCTTGTGCAGCCCTGTCTTGTAAAGACAGTGAAACCACACAAATAAGGCTTCCTACTCCCTGGGCCTGAGCTCTGAAACCCAGCCGAGATAGAATCCCAAACAGCCAGAGGGCTTCCCTTCTGAAGGCAGTGAACTGAACATACATTATTTAAGATGAATACCCAGAACTCTTACAAATGAAAAAGAAAAGGACAATCCATTGAAAAATAAGCAAAAGACTTACACAGGCCCTTCATGAAAAAGACACATAGCCAATAAACTGATTATAGCATGCCCAATATGATTAGTAACCAGGGAAATACAAATTCCTCAAATGCCTAAATTCTTTGTGTTGGATTTTCAAGTGAAGTTTACCTCAAGGAGTTTACACAGAAGACAAAGGTTTTGAAATCTACTATATATTCTCTCAGGGGAAAAGCTGCAACTTTGGGTGCAGAAGTAGTGTGCAGAAAGGAGAGAGGATAAAAATATGACTTGAAAGGACTGCACAAGTAGAAAAAAGATAGATAAAGGGAACATACTCAAATAGATTCAACACTATTTCATTCAAAATCCCAGCTGGTTAGTTTGTGAACAAGACAAGCTGATTTTAAAAATTTTAAAGAAGAATAAAGTGCCACTCATCAAGATACTCTTGAAAAACAAGAAAAAGGTAGGGGACTTGCCAAGTCAACTATAAACAATTACCCTAAAGCTAGACAGTGAAGCTACTGGGATAGACAGAGAGCCCAACAGAACAAAATGGCTAAGAAACAGATTCACACTCTTATGGAAATTTCACTCTGACATAGCTGGCAACACAAATCAGTGGAGAAAAGGCTGGACTTCTCCAGAGATGACACTGGGACACCTGGTGATTTATTACAGAAACAAGTAAATCTGCTCTCCTTCTTTATGCTACATAGTCACCAAACCCAGGGACTAAGAACTTAAATATGAAAAGCAACATTACAAAATTTTAGAGAACAGTAAGTATAGGAGACTGCCTAAATGACCAAGAGAGATTTCCTACAAATAAAAGCTCAAAGCATAAAGATTGATATATTTAAGGAGAGAGGATAAAATCGTTTAAATTAACAACATATTAATCTTTAATCAATCATAAAAAATGTGAAAAGACAAGACACAAGCTAGAAGGTATTTGCAACATACATTATTTAAGATGAGTATCCAGAACTCTTACAAATCAAGAAAAAGACAATCCAATTGAAAAGTATGCAAAAGATTTATATAGGCCCTTCATAAAGAGGAAACACAAATAGCCAATAAACTCATTAAAGGATGCCCAATATGACTGGAAACCAGGGAAATACAAATTAAAATCACTCAGACATTTCAAATTTATAATGTTGGTAAGCATTTTAAGGTCTAATTCTATCAAGTGTTGGCAAGCATGTGAAGTTACTGGAATTCTTATATACAGCTGGAAAAAAAACCCAACAATCTGGCTTCACTTGGTAAAATAGCAGATACGCATACCTATAACTCAAAAATTGTCAACTATACCCTGAAGAATTCGTGTGCATGTGTACCAGTTGATGTATACAAGAACGTTTACAGCAGAACTGTATGTAACAGCAAAACACTGGAACCAACTGAAATGTCCATCAACAGCAGAAAAGAGAAGGAAAAGATGTTCTATTCACACAAGGCTGTGAAGTACCACAGGATGCGGAGCTGCCTCTCGGGATAAAGAGGAATGAAAACAGCAAGGTGCAGGACATTCTTCCTCCATGACTCCATTCACAGGAAGTTCAAAGACATGCAAAACTAATATACTGTGTAGGAATACACATATATGAGGCAAGCCATAAGGAAAAGAAAGGGGTTATAGCAGAATATCCAGTGTAGTGGTTATCTTTGAGTGGAAAGGACGGGGCATTGCACTGGAGAGGGAACAGTCTGTGCAACCTTAAGCTGTGTGGTGGCAACAGTGTGGCTGTTTTTATACCATACACAAATGTTATATTAACTCTTCAATATTTAATTAAAAAAAATTAAACCAGAAGATTGCCAAATATTCCAATTCTGCATTTAAATAAAGGTTTCTCTTCTCTACAGATAATTTGGAAATGACATGCAAGTACTTCCTTGCTCATTAGCCAGCCAGGTAAGGGGTTTAATGACTTCTCTTCCACCTGACCTCACTTTTTCCTATTGCCGACTGCCTGCTCACTCTAAAGGTGCTGTCCGAGCTCCACAGCACACCCACTGCAGGGATGCTCCCACTTGGGAGCACACTTCTGTGTGGCCAGCTCTTCAAACCCACAGGACCTCCCCTTCTTTCTTAGAATCAGTTTTCCTAAGTGTTTGTTGTATTATCTTTAGGAAAGTATAGTGCTTATGAAATGACACTTCTTAGAAAGACGTGTGTGAGCTGGGAAGGGTGACATGAAATCTTCAAAATTATCAAAGTCAGTCTAAAATAAGCAGAGCTGTGCTTCTAGATAAGGCAGAAAATGACTACTCTATAGGTGTCAACAGTCTCCAAATATAATCTACAGCACAAGTAGCCTCGGGGGTATGAAGAATACGTCTATGAACTCATATCAACCCACTCTCGTGTCTGTAAAACCTGAAAAACGAAATACATAAATGGAAGGTACTAAAACCTTCATCCCCAGCATCCACTGACGAGCCATGTCAATGCCTTGTTCTTCATTCACAGCAATTTCAGAAACCTCTGTGCCACCCCCTCCATTTACTTCTAGATTTCTGCTGTTGTGTGGCTCAGTGGATGCCCCTACTTTAGGGAATCCCAGCAGGGGCAGACTAACACAAAAAGCCAAGCTTGCTGTGCCTCTTGTTTACAACAACACAAAAAATGTCTTAGGCAAGACCCTACCATGACTCCTACCACCACACGTGCTAACAAACAACCATGAGGAAGGGGATGCAGTTCTCTCTGGTCACCCACGCTCTGCCGTCAATCTGAGGTTCATGTTGTGAGGAGAAGTCAGGGAGCCACCATGGAAGGTCGCATGGAGGGAACCTTACCGCTTCCCTCTCTAAATGAAGCCCCAACTGTAGTATGCGAATAAAACAATCCGTCAGCTAAGTGCACACTGTTTTGTATACGTTAATAGTTTTCCATTTGTGAGGAGAAATCAGTGCAGCAATGACGACCCTGTCTCTTAAATGCATCCACTTCTGCAAACAGTTCATCACCTCCAACTGCCTATGGCCAAAGAGCGTCTCCCCTAAGATCCTGTTCAATCTCTCTGTCTGTGGGCCTGTCAAGATACAAAGCCAAACTCGACGGAATTTCTCTGGCAGAAGTGAAAATACATCATGGGTTAAGAACACGAGTAGTTAGATGGTGAGGATGTTAACATAAGGAGGTGGGCATGTACAGGAAAAAGGAAAACCAATACCAGACACCTAAAATCCAAGACCTAGAGACAGTCATCCTGTGACCTGAAGCAGAGCCATGTGCCACAACCAACCACTCCACATCTGAACCCAGAGGCATCCTGTGACACATCTGCAGAAACAAGAACATACAGAAGAGCAGAGACCCCGCTCCAGACAGCTACACCCACGTACACAGAGGCCTTTGGCACAACTCCTGGCCAGTTGTCACTCCCCCCCAGGTAGGGAAGCTGCTGATCTGGGGAGTGGAAAAAACAAACCTGGCATGCACGGTTCAGCGTCCTCACGGTTTTGGCAGCTAGCTGCTCTTTTTTGTCCTCTTCCCCAGGGGAGGCTCTTCCCCTGCCCACTAATCTACATCCCACAGTCCGAACCATATCAATAACTAGAGGTAATATTTTGAACCCATCTCTCTTTCTTCAGAACTTGGGGAAGGGAGAAGGGGCACTAATTTATCAGTCTCATTCGGAGACCCAAACAGTAGTGAAGATAGAGCCCCAGAAACCTAAGTCCAAAATTCTCCCAACTAATTCTTTTCTATCTAGTAAATATTTTTAAAACTATTTTTTTTTAAAATATCGTATTTATCCAGTTAAACTATGTACATTTTGAATCCATTCTTCCATAAAACATACATACATCTCAAAACTAGCTATCCAAGAGGGAACTCCTGATCTTCACTTCTCCCTCCCAAACTTACCTCCCCACCTTAACAAGCAGCACTTCCCCTACTCAGTGGCTCCTGTGCCAGCTGGGGATCCTCCCTGATGCTGTCCTCTCCGATTTGCCCCTTCTGATTCAACACCAAATCTCACCAATCCTGCCTTCCAAAATATTATCTAAAAACAAACAAACAAACAAACAAACTTCTCTCTGCCTCAACTGCCACCACCCTTATCCAGTCTCCGGGTTACCTTTCATGATCACACTGACTCCTGCCCGGTGCTGTTTCCACTCCCCTTGACCTACTACAACCCAAATTCCACGTTCTGTCTTAAAAATAACAAAATAAACAGGAAAACTGATGTTACTTCCCTGTTTGAGATTCTTTATTAACTTGTCACATTCTCAGCACAAAAATCTAGTTAGGCGTTCAACAGCATGGACTCTAAAAGCCACAATGCCTGACAGTAAATCCCAGCTATGGTATTTCCAAAGCTGTACATACTTAGGTAACTTACGCAGCCTCCTATCTATGTGGTCAATGAACCGATGCACGTAAAGACTGAGAACAGTGTCTGGCACCTGAGAGGCCCTCAGGACCTGCTATTACTGCCATGGAGCATGCAAGGCCCCCATGACCTGACCTCTCCCCGTCACTGCTACTTCACCCCTCCCCATTCTCCTTTTTGCTCCATACACTCCAGCTACACTTATTTTTTCAGCTTCCCCTGAGTTCCAAGCCTACCCTTCTCCAGGACCTCTGTACAGGCTGATCCCTTGGCCTGGGGGGGCTCTTCTGATTCTATCCTTCCCTCCTCATTCCTGGGGTCATAACTGAAATGAAATATCTTCAGATATTCCTTTCTTAAGTTAGGTCCCACTGTCATAATTTCTCATAATACTAAGTAGATTTCTATTATTGCACTTATGAGAATTTATAATTATATATCTAATTATTCACCTAATCTGTCTTCTTCACAGAATTAAAATTCTAGAGGCCGGGCATGGTGGCTCACGCCTGTAGTCCCAGCACTTTGGTAGGCCGAGGCGGGTGGATCACAAGGTCAGGAGTTCTAGACCAGCCTGGCCAACCATGTTTCTACTAAAGAATATAAAAATTGGCCGGGCATGGTAGTGGATGCCTGTGATCCCAGCTACTCGGGAGGATGAGGCAGGAGAATTGTTTGAAACCGGGAGGGAGAGGCTGCAGCGAGCCAAGATCGCGCCACTGCACTCCAGCCTGCGCGGCAGAGTGAGACTCTGTCTCAAAAAAAAAAAAAAGTATTAAAATTCTAGAAACCAGGGAACATGTCTTTTGTTTATTGCTGCATTTCTCACATCTCACACAATGTTCAGTGTTCTACAGATCTCCAATAAATATCTGTAAGACGATTAAGTATAAAGAAATCTAGTAACAACTTGACTTATATGTTGTAAAGAAATAACCTAAAAAGTCATGTACATGCTCACGAGGTTTCAGGTTAATGATTCATTCTTGAGACCAAAAACCTCAAAGAAGGCATTTGTAAGAAATAAACAAAATACACAATTGAAAAAAATCAAAAAAGCTAAATCTAACAAAATCCTTTTTTTAAAAAAAAAAATCCTTTTATGCTTATATTTTTACCTAACCTGGAAAATGAGTATCTCTATCTCCATCTGTCTGTCTATAGATAGATAAAAACAAGCTTAGCCAAAACTTTTTCCATCTATCTATCTATCTAAAAGATAAAAACAAGCTTAGCCAAAACTTTTTCCTCTCCCCTGGGTCTCAGTATTCATTCCTAGCTTTCTAAAAACTCAGCCAAGACAAAATTCCCTATCAACCATAAATACCTGCTTTGAACACAGTCAATATTCACCCCTACCCCTCCATCTAGGAGCTTTAATTATGGCTCCAAAGTATGCATAACTCACACTAGCAGTAGAGTCCATCTACAAGGCACGTGGAGGCCCTCAAGAGTTATGGTCAGCATCTGTTACGCCAGCACACCAGAGCAAACATCTGCCGCAAGGTTGTGCTGAAAACATTTCTATCAAGTGGGCCATCGTGTCTGGAAGATTACCAGCCCTGGAGGGATGTTTGCGAGCAAAGTTTCAGCTCTTTGTGAAGCAGCCCTCTGACCGAAGCAAGCCACACAGAGTGCTGCAGAGAACACGATGTGCATTCTCTGGGGGCATTTTCAAGGGTTTCTATTTCATAGAAAATGAAAGGACTCTAAACCATGTAGAGATGGTGGAAAATATAGTTGGATACCACCCAATGAACATGTGCACCAAAATACCATGATAAAGTTTATCCTGAAAGTAGGAGAAGGAAAATGTGGTGGGCTTACTCACAAAAAGGAATAGTAAGGTGCTCAGATAGGAATTCTGCAGGGATTCGTCCCCAAGTTCCCAAAGAAGCAACCTACCAAGAAGGAAGCTATTTTGCCAGATACTGTCCTACATTTTATAGTACTTGATCTTACCTTTCCAGATGTTTCTGTGAATTTTTTAGTCTAGTGCACCATCAGTTCACTAACTGCTCTAGGAAGATCCAAATACAATAGTTTCCGTCTCCATCAAGGGCAATAAATGCCAAGTAAAATGCAGTATCCTATTTAGTGTGGCCTGTGTGACTGGGTGCCCAAAGCCAGGAACCATAGCATCCACATCATCTGGGCTTTTCTGATTGGACCATAGTGTGACAAAGAGCAGTGGCTTAGGGGACCCTCCTTTCTCTTGCTGACTCAATCTAAACTGCTCTGGGTGAGCACTCCCCCTTTCCATATCCCATTTAATTCTGCTCATAAAATGGGGTTGGTTTCCTAACAGGTCAAGGTTTTTTAAAAATAGTACACAGTGTTAATAAAACATACTGGGCATCTCCCAACAAATGGACCCAAGCGCAGGCAAGGTCCATTTCTGGTTATTTCTGTTATCAATATTATTTGAAGAGCATAGGTAAGATAAAATAACAACCCTCAACTCTGATACATCCATAACTGGGCAACTACATAATACAGAGACAATTTACATGAATGAAAGTTTAATGGCATCAAATCAACTATGGATTACTAGTATCCAGGTAAAAGTAAAAACTATAGAGTTGAAAATGTCACTAAGAAAAGATATTAAAATATAAAAATACCTTTTAAAACTTCATTTTTTTGTTTATAATCTGAAGGGCAATTAGAAGCTTCAGATGATAGGAGCTCAAGGCCTAGGATTTTGCCATGAAGCCTGGTCACCTCCAATCTCCACCTGGGGACTTAAAACACTACAAAATCCTATACATTATAACCCAAGAAAAATCCCTGCTTCTCCACTAAGGGCTCCTGAGACCAGAAAGACAAAAGAAGGATGGTGACCTATACTTCGGGAAAACCAAATTAGCTGCCATTTCTCGACATTCTATAATCCCAACTTTCAATTTCTAATGCTGGTGGCTCTAACTGTACAGGTACGACAGAGCTGAAATCCAAAGTAAACAGACATAATTCATCTTGCACACAACACTATACAGAGCTTTCCCCATTATTAAGAAGCTTCGCCAAAATCTTGATTGGAAGCATGCTAAACATACTGCCCACAATTCCAAATTAAACAATTTTGAGAAATATTTCTTGCTTTTCAGATTCTCAAAATATTTGAAGTTCAACAACTACATACAGGCAAGATCATTCTGATCATCAACTGCTCAATTAATTCTCACTACTGTCCTGGGAAGCAGATAATATTATTACCATTTTATAGATGAGAAAACTAAAGCACAAGGAGATGAAGTAATTTGTCTAAGGACAGCGGGAGTGGAAGAAGAATTCACACACATTTCCACTCTCCAGTAATTTAACTTAAGAAGGAAGGAGCTACTGCAGAGAGAACAAACTTATCAGTCATGGAATCCCACATCACTCAGTGCTGGAGAGGGGGAATGAGTAACAAAAAAGTGACAAATCACAAGGTCTGAGTCCCAGCTCTCAGCCAGAGTCACCCAATTGCTTCAGAAGACTGTTACCAAAAGGAAATAACAATACATTAACTTGCTCTGTAAACCATAAAATCCACTACTAGTGTATATATTATATTTCCATGAAGCACTTACCACAGTTACACTTGGTTTTTGTTTGCATTTCTTAGCAGGTGATTAATATTTTAAGGGTAGAGAAACTGCATTACTCATTTTTATATCCTCAGCATCTATCTAAAACGTCTTTCCCATAGAAACTCAAATGTCTGTTGAGTGACTGGTTGAGTGAGTAAATAAATGTAAATAAGATAAAAAGGAAAACATATTTTAAGGGCCAAACAACCCAAAAGCATTCAATGAGGGAAGTTGGTTACCAGACTTTCAGATAGGGTATCTAGTATTTCCTGTAGTAAGATACTGTATATTCCCCTTCTCCTCCCCACAGAATAAATCAAGTACAAAGAAACTAAAAATAATAATACCAAAGAATGAGCAATTTCCAGGTCAGGTGCAGTGGCTCACGCTTGTAATCCAAGCACTTTGGGAGGCCGAGGTGGGTGGATCACAAGGTCAGGAGTTCAATACCAGCCTGGCCAATATGGTGAAACCCCATCTCTACTAAAAATATAAAAAATTAGCCAGGGGTGGTGATGCACGCCTGTAGTCCCAGTTACTCAGGAGGCTGAGGCAGGAGAATCGCTTGAACCCGGGAGGCGGAGTTTTCAGTGAGCCGAGATCGCGCCACTGCACTCCAGCCTGGGCAACAGAGTGAGACTATGTCTCAAAACAAAAACAAAACAAAAGTACAATTTCCTCTTTGGTCTTGTCTGTATTACTAGTTTAGGAAAAAAAGGAACCTCTCCTGCTCAGCTGTGCAGGCACCTGGAGGCATCTGAAGCTGGAGGTAGGAAAAAAAACGTGAAGGTGAGCTTGACCTAGAAGGAAGGTGAGCTTGACCTAGAAGGGTGACTGCGAACAAAGTGCTTTGAGGAAGCAACGTCAAACTTGCGTGGATCTTTTGGTAAACAGGTTCATTTCCTAAATTCTTTTGTGGGAATGTAAGACATTTGTGTTTCTAAAAGAGGAGAGGAAACCAAAACAAAAACCAAAACCACCAGCCTGCAACGAAGGCCTGCAGTGGGGGCACAGAAGGAAGCAGGAGAGGCTCCGGCAGAGAATCAGCCAGTGAGAGTGTCCAAGGAACATGGGAGCACAAATCTGCGAAGGAACACTCGAACGAGGACCAATTTCATTATTATTATTCTGCTCTGTAAGGCATAGGGGACACCACCCCTCTCTCTGTGCTTAAAGGACAGCCATTCCATTAACTACCCACCTTGAATGGATTCCAGAGAAAGACCTTGTCCCCCAAGGAACATTAGCAAAAGCCTTCAAGCAAGGGCAAGAGCCTTAGTGACAAATGAGAAGGCACAGAACAACTGGGCAGAGATCATCTCTTGACAACCTATGCTAATTCTCCTGTTCCTACCATCAGGAAAGTGGGAGGGGGAAGAGCTGCTGTCCTATCACTTGGGGTCCATTCTGGGGTCAAATTTGAATCCCAGCTTCTAGAGCTGAATTCAATGTGGAGTTTATTGTCTGTGCCAAAATTCAAAAGCTGATCAAGTTGAAGAATGTGACATGGACATAATGTGAAGTACATGAAAACTCACATACAAAGTACCTGTCCTCCTGGAATCAGTCCCCAGTTATCACAGAGCCGAGAGGAAACCAGTCCCCTATTATCAAATCCTCTTACTCTTGACTAGAGTGATGGAATTTGGGAGGAACGTAGCAGACTTCTAAAGATTGCTCAGCTACAAGCAGGATTTTCATCTCCTTTTCAGTCGTGGATAACAATGAAAGCAGTCAGCCGTCTAATAAGTCAAGTTTAATTTTTTTTTTTTTTTTTTTTTGGAGACAGAGTCTCGCTCTGTCGCCCAGGCTGGAGTTCAGTGGCCGGATCTCAGCTCACTGCAAGCTCCACCTCCCGGATTTACACCATTCTCCTGCCTCAGCCTCCCGAGTAGCTGGGACTACAGGCGCCCGCCACCTCGCCTGGCTAGTTTTTTTTTGTATTTTTTAGTAGAGACGGGGTTTCACCGGGTTAGCCAGGATGGTCTTGATCTCCTGACCTTGTGATATGCCCATCTCAGCCTCCCAAAGTGCTGGGATTACAGGCTTGAGCCACCCCGCCCGGCCAGTCAAGTTTAATTTTAACAGCATAAAGTATTGCCCACTACTCCTCTTTGTAATTTCCAGAAGTAAAACCCAACTCGAATTAACTTAAAAAAATTGTTATTGAGGTAAAATTCACACAACATAAAATTAATCTTTTAAAGTTTACAATTCAGAGGCAGTTAATACATCCACAATGTGTACAGCCCTCACATCTAATTCCAAAACACTTTCATCGTCCCCAAAGGAGACCCCTTTCCCCTCATTAAGCAGTCAAAATGAACTTTTTCCACAATGGCATTTTGTGTGATACATCATGCTTTCTCCACAGTGTCAGTTTATTCACTTTCAACAGCATCTTTGCATTTTAAAGGTAAGGGAAAACCCAAAGGACCATGAGAACTAACACTCACAAATGTGCTTTCCTGTCTACCACGTGACTGTATACACATCTGGTGAGACAGTTATCTCAGGCAAAATGTAATGTGTGTCTTCCCTGGGAGGAGAAACAGGAGCTGATTCTAATGGAATGTTTACTATGTGACAGATACTGAGTCAGAAACAGCACAGCAGCCAAGACTGGGTGCTCTGCAGCCACACTGCCCAAGTTTCAGTTCCGATTCAGTGTGAACTCCGTGTTCTTTGTCAAGTCATCATCATCTCTCTGCCTCCTTTGTCTTCACATGTATTGTGATGGCAACACCACCACTTGCCTCATGGAGATGCTATGAAGGTTAAGTAAGTTCAAGTGCTTAGAACAATGTCTAGTGCCTAAAAAGAGCTCAATCACTGCTGCCTTATTTGACGTTCACTACGACTCTGAGGGAGGTTCTATTTGTGCCCCCATTTCATTACTGAGGAACCTAAATTTTACAGCATCTAACAGACTTACCCCAAAGCCCCAGAGAATGAGTGGGATAGCTGGGATTTGAACCCAATTCTGAGTTCTGCTGGCTTAGCAACCATTCTGTAAAATGTACCAGGGAACAAAACCTTTCTGATCACATTTACCAAACTCATGTTAAGCAAAATCATGCTCACACATGAAAATGTAAAAAAAAACCAAAAAACAAAAAACAAAACAAACAAAAAAACACATGAAACTGTCACCAAAATGGCACTAACCCAACTGTGCTAAGTTTTATTTCCTGCTGGCTTCTCAGTTCTCTAAGCCTTGAGGATCCATGCTCCTTAGACCATTATTACCTCCTCCCCTATATGCAGTAAGTTCCTGGCTCTTCTGATCTTTCCCATTCTTACTGGACACCATCCCCTGACTTCAGGCTCTCAGCGTTCTCATTCACAGAGACTAAGATCTTCTGCTATTTGTACTTTCTGATTTCAGGCTCTTTATTCTCTGATACACACTGCTGCCAGAATAATCTTCAAAAGATTGACTGCAACTTTCAACTTTAATTCAATAATACAAATATTTCTTGAGCATCTAGGTGCAAGGCACCATGATGGAGATAATATGAGTAAGACAGTCCTTGCCTTCAGGAGCTCAATCCAAAAAGGGAGTCATAAGACAAAGCAGAGCCAGAGAAGGGCCCTAAGAGAGGCACGATGTTCTACGGGGGTGTTCAAAGGAGTTATATCCTCTTCAGATTAGAGAAAGATTAATGAAGGAAATTAAGTTTAAAAACAGAGCATTTCCACATGGAGTAAGAGAAGGGCAGGCATTCTGGGCAGAACACTGCAGGAAAACGGCAGACAGGAAGTCTGAGTGTTTGGCAAGGGCCAGAAGTGCAGAAAGAAAAGCAGCAGGGAAGGGGCTTGGAAAAGCTGATTTGGACCACAGTATAAAAGGTCTTGACTCTCAGGCAAGGGGGTTAGTACTGAGTGTGACTGATGAATCTCCATGGCTCTGCTCTCCTGTGTGCTTTGTTCAGGGCTGGTTCTCACCGTCTCCCCATCACTCAAGGCCTAGTCCAATTTTCAGCTTCTTCCTAAAGTGTGTCTTGACCACCCCAGTGTAAAATATGATCCCCTTCTATTAACAACGACCACCTCTACAATTTATTTGGCAATTAATCACGTAGTGCTTCTAACACCTGTTACCAGTCTTAAATGATTTTTCCTTTTTATTACTTACGATGCGTATTTATGTTTTGACTCCCCAGTGAAGTATTCACTGAACTCTAGAGTAGGGGAGGAGTGTTCCTCAAATCTGGAAGATCACCAGAAAATACGCAGCTTAAAAACAGATTTTGTCAGGTGACTCTGAAGACCAGCTGGGTATGCAATCCACTACACCCATGGAATCAGGCACAGGGCCTTGCTATACTACAAAAAATTTGCTATTTTTACAGATACCTGTGATTTTTACTTTATGTCTCAACAGGAAACAGGTGCATCAATGTGCACGGCCACTAAGAGTACATGAGTGTCCCTGCTTTTCAACAACCTCATTTCTACTTAAAACTGATAAACTTTTTTGTAAATATAATGGGTGTGAAGTAATACGTGCATTTTAATTTGCATTTCCCTATTTGTTAGTGAGGCTGCAAAACTTTCCAGACTTTTCAGATTTCCTCAGATAAAACTGCCTGTTCTCATCTTTCACCCATTTTTCTACTGAACTAGTTGTATCTATTACAGATTTATACAAGTTCTTCATGCATTCTAGATACTAATTCTGTTATGCTATAAATATCTTCTCTCAGTCTGTCACTTTTTTCTAGCTTTATGGTTCCCTATGAAACACAGACTTTTTAAGTCTTAATATAGATAAATATATTATCACTTACTTTTTGAGTTGTATTTTTTGTACTATTTCTTATAAACCCTTCCCTACTCATGGAACATTAAAATGTTCTGTTTCCTTATAGTTTTAAAGTTTTGTTTGTCCTGGCTTTAACTTTTCTGGAAGTTATAATCTTATAGTATTTTGTTCCTATGCCAGCTAAGCCCATTGGTCCCAAACCATTTACTGAATAATTCGTTAGTTCCCCACGGATATCACATAGTTCTGCCCCCATTACACTGACGTCTCTATTTTGCATCAAGACCACCAGGTCTTAATTACTCTAACTTTGTAAGTCTTAGTTCATTTGGACAAAGCCTATCTTCCTTGTTTCTTACTTAATTTTCTTGCTATTCTTGGATCTTTATTCTACCACACAGATCAGTCTGCTGGCTCCACAAAAAACCCTGTTAAAACTGTGACTGAAATGATGTAGTAATGAGAGAGTAAGGATGTCTTTATAATGTAGAGTACTTTTTCCATCAACATTGACACACCATCTCTCCATTTATCTATGCTTTTTTTTTAGATCTTTTAATATTTTATGTTTTTTTTTAAATAAAGAATTTGCATATCTTTTTTTTGAGATGGAGTTTCACTCTTGTTGCCCAGGCTGGAGTGCAATGGCATGATCTCAGCTCACTGCAACCTCCGCCTCCCAGGTTCAAGCGATTCTCCTGCCTCAGCCTCCCTAGTAGCTGGGATTGTAATAGGCATGCGCCACCACGCCCAGCTAATTTTGTATTTTTAGTAGAGATGGGGTTTCTCCATGTTGGTCAGGCTGGTCTCGAATTCCTGACCTCAGGTGATCTGCCCACCTCGGCCTCCCAAAGTGCTGGGATTACAGACGTTAGCCACCGCGCCCGGCCTGGCTCCGTATTTTCAATAAATTACATTCTCTACTTTGTTGGTGGTGGTCCACAGGAACACTACCGATTTTTAAAAAATCTTTAAACAGTAAAATTTTTCTATATTTTCATTTGTTCCAGTAATTAAGTCTCTACATTTTTAATGTGGTTAAATGCATCACCTACAAACAAATCAGTTTTGCCTCTTCTTTCTATTCCTGTGTCATATATATTTGTGTGTGTATTTGTGTGTGTGTATACATATATATTATAGTTCGACAAACTCACGCTCTGTTGCCCAGACTGGAGTGCAGAGGTATGATCACAGCTCACTGTAACTTGAACCCCTGGCCTCAAGCAGTCCTCCCACCTCAGCCTTCCAAGTAGTGGGGCTACAGGCACACGCCACCATGGCTGGCTAATATTTTTATTTTTGTAGAAATGGGGTCTTTCTATGTTACCCAGGTTGGTCTTGAAATTTTGGCCTCAAGTGATCCTCCCTCTTTGGCCTCTCAAAGCACTGAGATTACAGGAGTGAGTGACTTCACCTGGCCATATATTTACATACTTTTACATAAACACACATATATAGGGTCTTTGTCCAATTGTGTCATATAGAAATCTGAGTAAAAAGTCTAATAATATTAGTGATGACAGTAGGCAACCTTATTTTGCTCTTTATTTTCAGTGAAGGACTGACAGTTTCACCATTAATTATGATGCACAGGGGCTACATGTGTGGCTCACGCCTAAAGTCCCAGAACTTTGGGAGGCTGAGGAAACAGTAATCGCTTGAATCCAGGAGTTAGAGACCACCCTGGGTAACATGGTGAAACACCATCTCAAAAAAAAAAAAAAAAAAACCAGAAAAAAAGAAAACAAAAATTATCCAAGCGTGATGGCGTGCACCCGTAGTCCCAACTACTTAGGAGGCTGAAGTGGGAGGATCACGGGAGCCCAGGAGGTCGAGGCTGCAGTGAGCCATGATTGCACCACTGCACTCCAGACACAGTGAGACTCTCTCTCTCAAAAAAAAAAAACATATATATATATATATACACACACACACACACGCACACATATATAAATATATATGACAATATAGTTTTGGAAGTTATTATTTTTCACATTAAGGAGATGTCCTGTCATTCCTAGTCTCCTATAAGCCATCATTACAAGGAACGCTGCATTTCGCCCACTGAATTTTATGCAGCTATGGAAACAAATGCACTTGTTTCTCAGTGAATTATATGATTTCTCAGTGAATGGCAAACTACATTTTCAAAGACAGCCGAAACAGTGTCTCCACCTCACACAGTCTTTAATGTGACCTTGTCACTCTCCATCTAAAGATGTGGTCTTCCAGAGCCCAAGGAGGGAGAACTGCTTGAAGCCGGGAGGTGGAGGTTGCAGTGAGCCGAGATCCTGCCACCGCACGCCAACCTGGGCGACAGAGTGAGACGCTGTCTCAAAATAAATAAATAAAGATGGGATCTATAACTGGGTGCAGTGGCTCATGCCTATAATCCCAACACTTTGGGAGGTTGAGACAGGAGGATCACTCGAACCCAGAAATTCGAGGCCAGCCTGGGCAACAGAGACAGTTCTCATTTCTACAAAAAATAAAAATATTAGCCAGGCATGGCGTCATGCACCTGTAGTCCCAGCTACTCGGGAGGCTTAGGTGGGAGGACTGCTTGAGCCTGGGAGGTCGAGGCTGCAGTGAGCCGTGACTATGCCACTGCACTCAGCCTAAACGACATCAAAACCCTATCTTTAAAAAAAAAAAAAAAAAAAAAAAGCCTACTTTCCCTTCCCTTGAATGTGAACTGGACTTAGTGATTGTTTTGTAAACAATACAATACAGTAGAAGTGATGCTGTGTTAATTTTTTTTTTTTTTTTTTTTTTGAGACAGAGTCTTGCTCTGTCACCAGGCTGGAGTGCGGTGGCGTGATCTTGGCTCACTGCAACTTCCGCCTCAACCTCCGGGTTCAAGTGATTCTCCTGCCTCAGACTCCTGAGTAGCTGGGGCTACAGGTGTGCACCACCACACCCAGCAAATTTTTGTGCTTTTAGTAGAGACAAGGTTTCACCATGTTGGCCAGGATGGTCTCAGTCTCTTGACCTCATGATCCGCCTGCCTCGGCCTCTCAAAGTGCTGGGATTACAGGCATGAGCTGCTGCGCCTGGCCAATACTGTGTAACTTCTAAGGCTAGGTCAGAAACGGCCACAGAATGCAGCCAACCATTTTGCTGTGGGGAGCCCAAGCCAAATGCAGTGGCCAAGTATAGGTATTCCAGGTTTCCATCCCAGCTGAGCCCAGCCTCAGAGTCACCATCACAGCCAGGTGGCAGACGTGTGAGTAAAGAAGATCACAGCTGTTTATGTCACACCCAGCCATTTGTGTCTTCCCAGCTGATGCCCCAGAAATCACGGCACAAAGACACCCTTACTGCCCCATTCAAAATTCCTGAACCATGGAATTCATGAACAGAACAAAAAGGTTGTTTTATACCGTTTTGGATGGGTTTGAGATGGTATGTCATGCGACGGTAGAAAGCTGGAACATAAGACTAGAGTCTTTCATGGTAAACTATCTTTGCATTCCTGGGATAAATCCTACTTGGTTGCCATGTAGTACTTTTCATACATTGCTGGGTTCAGTTTGTTAATATTCCACTTAAGACATTTTATGTTTTGCTTAGCGAAGAGAGAGACTGGCCTACAAAAATGTTTCCTTCTTACATTGTATTTACATGGTTTTGAGATCAAGGTTAAACTTAGCCTTTTAAAAAAAGTTGTGAAGCTTGCCTTCTTTTCCTCGTCTCTGAGAAATAGCTTAAAGATTTGTTAATTAAATATTGAGTATATTCACCTGTAAAACTGCCAGGGGGAGGTGCTGGTGCTGGGAAAGGGGTACTTAAACCAATGATCCAGTTTTTTTTTTTTTTTTCCTGAGATGGAGTCTTGCTCTGTCGCCCAAGCTGGAGTGCAGTGGCGTGATCTGAGCTCACTGCAACCTCTGCCTCCCGGGTTCAAGCAATTATTCTGCCTCAGCCTCCCTAGTAGCTGAGACTACAGGCATGCGCCACCATACCCAGCTAATTTTTGTATTTTTTGGAGACGGGGTTTCACCATGTTGGCCTGGCTGGTCTCAAATTCCTGACCTTGTGATCTGCCCGCCATGGCTTCCCAAAGTGCTGGGATTACAGGCCTGAGCCACTGCGCCCAGCTTTTTTTTAAGAACATAGAGACAGAATCTCACTAGGTTCAGGCTGGTGTCCAACTCCTGGCCTCAAGTGATCCTCTTGCCTCAGCCTCCCATAGTGCCGAGATTACAGGTGTCAGCCTGGCCAAAACCTTAGCTTTTTAATTTCAAATCATCCTCGGTTTTTAAAAGCAGAGTGTCTCACAGATTCTAATCTGAGATTACTCTCCCACAGTAATTGTTGACTAGATTAAGCTACTTCTTGATTAACAGAGTGAGAGAGAAGAAGAGTCCTTGGGTAATCAAAAACCACAGTAAAAGCACACCAGGGCCGACAATCTATACAGCTACTTACAAAGGTGGGCTAGATGGCAGCAGACTTGTGCCGACCGTGTCAGGGCCAGGCGGAAGGCTGCTCTGGGTGAGGTGATACAGAGCCAAGCTCGGTCCTGAAAGCTTGGCTCCTCAACCCACCCTCCTTGAGGATGACTATCAGCCCTAGACAGTCACCAAAATATTGCCAGAGCTGGGGAGGTGAAGCCCCTGGTCCCTGTGCCACTTCTTTGGAATAAACCAACTGACTATATGTCGGTTTTTTGGGTTTCCTTTTTTGGGGGGTGGGGGTGGACAGGGGAATAGCAGAGGTGTTGTCCGAAGTATCATAAAGTTTTTGAAGACAAAGAAGACTGCAGGCTAAGTTAAAACACTGAAAGAATAGTGACTGATGGTCAAGAGTGAGAGGTGAGCATGGCTCTGCTGGTAACAGTATGCTCAATATAATCTCTCAGGAGGACACAAGGCACTGGCTACCAAAGGCCTTAAAAATGCACATACTACTTCAAATAAATATTTCTAGGAATGAATCTTAAGGAAATAACTGCCCCAAAATAAAACAAAGTCACTTATTAAGAATTTTTTTTTTTGCAGCAGTAACCGCTCCCCACAAAATACCCCAGAAACGGAAAACAAATGTTCAAAACTAGAAGTTGGTTAATAACATTATGACGTCTTTTAAAATGTAACCATCAAAAATGACTCCACAGATACATGCTTTAAGCAAAAGATCAATATAGATAAGTTTTAAACAGTTATAAAATAAAAAATTAGGTTATAGAACAGAATGAGGCCATTTCTGTTTAAAATATTTATTGATAAATGCCTAGAAACAGTCTGAAGAATATGGGTCAAATTGTTAATTAGTGGTCATCTCTTAGTGATGGAATTACTGACTTTCTTTTTCTTTTTTGAGACGGAGTCTCACTCTGTTGCCAGGCTGTACAGTGCAATGGCGCGATCTTGGCTCACTGCAACCTCCGACTCCCTGGTTCAAGCGATTCTCCTGCCTCAGCCTCCTGAGTAGCTGGGATTACAGGCACGTGCCACCACGCCCAGCTAATTTTTGTATTTTTAGTAGAGACTGAGTTTCACCATGTTGGCCAGGATGGTCTCAATCTCCCGACCTCATGATCTGCACGCCTCAGCCTCCCAAAGTGCTGGGATTACAGGTGTGAGCCACCACGGCTGGCCTGATTTTAATTTCCTACTGTATATTCTTCTGCGTTTTCAAGGGGGGAAAAAATTACTAAAAACACACCCCTTCCCTCTCCCCCTAACAACTACAAAGCCAAACTTAAGTGTATCATGATTTTTAACTGTAGTAGTAGGATTCTAAGTGAGTCAATCTACCAGATTCACATTTTTTTAAAACTGAGACAGGGTCTCACTGTTTCCCAGGCTGGAGTGCAGTGGTGTGACCACAGCTCACTACAGCCTTGACCTCCTGGGTTCAAATGACTACAGGTGCGTGGCACTATACCTGGTTAATTTTTTTATTTTTATTTTTTTGTAGAGACAGGGACTCACGATGTTGCCCAGACTGGTCTCGAACTCCTGGACTCAAGCAATCCTCCCTCCTTGGCCTCCAGAAGTGCTAGGATTATAGGCGTGACACTGTCCCCAGTCAGATTAATATTTTAAGGAGAAAAAGGCAGTACTGCAACTTTTTGATTTTTTAAGGTGCATTTTTAGGAATAAAGGGGCAACAGGTCTGCAACTTACTCTCAAATGGTTCATGTGGGGGAAAAAACCACACACACACACACACACACAAAAGGAGGGTTAAATAATGTGTTAAGATGTTAATATTTGGAGAATCTAGGTAAAGAATATATGGGAATGCTGTATACTCTTCTTGCAAATTCTTGAAGTTTGAAATTATTTTAAACCAAATGGTTTTTTAAAAAATTATGCATAGAATAACCCAAACTTTTTGAAAGTCAAGTGTTACACACAAAATAAATTTCTGTGTATCTGCATGTGTTTTCGTGAGAGGCAGAATAAGTTCAGAATAACTAGAACAGGTTGAAAATTGAGAATTCCATTTAGTCCAGTTAGAATCTTAAAAAATCTAAGAAGTATTACATACATATATAATTGTAGACCATATTTTCAGCCCAGGTAAAAGTCCAAGTTCATACAACTTTGTGGAAGGAGTGAAAAGAACCCTGCCACAAATGTGCTACAGGGCCCTGCATCATCTCCACAACAAAACACCCAAGTTTCAAAAATCCACTTCATCAAAGATCAAGAATAACTCTGGTTAGAACTGTTAAATCAGTGGAAAGTTAATGAACACGGAGGATAAAGTCCAGAAAGTGCTGTCTGCAGGGTTTGGGGCGGGCATTCGCATTAGGAAACCCTCTGTGGTACAGGTTCTCTTAGTGGCCAACTGTTTGGTGATCTGCACATTTTTAGCATAGAACCTTGAAATGATACAGCTGTGATGGTCATTACAGAATTCTCTTTTTGTGTGACAGAATTGTGACAGGCTCCCAGGACCTAAACCCAGAAGGAAGCAGGACCACATTTCTGCCCAGAGAAGGGGACGGAGCAGATTCCAGGACACCGATCAAACAGAAGCTTCCATCACAGTGCCCTTTGCTACCTTATGAGACAGTTCGCATCTCAACAGCTCTAGGATACAAAGCAAGCACATATATTTATAAGTTGGCCAAGGAATCCTACTGTGAATAAAGAATTTCTATGATAATAAAATCCCACTTTTTTTTTTCTATAAAAAGCAAACCTTGTCCCAAATGCAAGCACTTACCACAGAGGTTCTGTGGGGGAAGCCTACCTCTAAAGGCCCTAGTTCTTGATTCATCCCTACTCCATGACCTGGACAAGACCTGTGAGGGTGCCATTTTTAGTATCACTGTGCCTCAGTTTCTCCACCTGTGCATGTGGAGTGATACTGGCAGCCCTAATAGACTTATGGGGATGACTGCTGAGCTGATGTCTATAAAATATTCTTAATTGCAAGGACGAAAGAGCTATAAATACAAGGTCAAAGCAGCATTTAAAAACCTTTTTAAAGCTGCAACCACTTCTTTCTTTTGAAACAGAGAACCACAGGGAGGATCAAAGGCATGTCGCTGTTAACTGCTGCCCTCAAGGCCTCGCCCTCCACCTGGCAGAAACCCCAAAGGGAGGTCTACCATGATTTTTACCTTGACTAACAAAATCTCAAGACAAGTTGTACAATGGTTTCCTGAAACATTCTGAGTAAAGAAACGGGAAACCAACATAGCTTACCTAGCTTCTTACCTTCTATGAAGACTGGCACTAAAAGTAAAAGGCAGCCTTCGGGCGGGAGAAATGCAAACACGGAGGGAAAACATAGTTTCCCCTCGTCTCTCTCTGCCACAAAAGCCCGGCCACAGTGACTCCACTAGGTTGAAGCAGCCTGCATAATAAAACGCCTAACCTTGGCTAAGTTAACCTCCTCAGCCATTAAAAAAAAAAAGCGGGTGGGGGCAGGGCTAGCAAAATCAAGCTTACGGGAAATAAGCCTAATCAAAGCCGAGCAGTAACAAAGGGCACCAGAAACATTTCTACTGTATCACATCCCACAGGCTGGCCAAGAGCCCGGAATTTTCATTACAACTTTCAAAGAGAGCGAGAGGAGGAGGAAAAAAGATTTCACAAAAGCATTATCAAGGCCCCAACCCAGGATGCCCTGCTGTACAACCAAAATTTGTAAGAGGTCAGCCTTTCAGAGAGTCAAAAACCCAGCATGTGGAAACTGGCAGGCCTTTTATATAGTGGGAGGGGTTCTTAAAACGACTACTGTTTCGCACTGAAGTCTCCGAGCTTCACACATCATTAAACGTTTCTGAACCACAGAGAAAGGAGGGCAGAGTTAAGGAAATAAATCAAAAGTTCCTCTGGGACGCACAAATGCCTACTTGGAACAGGCTTTCAGCACGAATATCCTCCACATTAAACAGGGAGGACTTTTCAAAATAAAAGCAGAAAAGAGATTCATTTTGTTATAAGCAGTGCACTTTTTCCTTTTGGTGTAAAGGTTATGTGTGCTATAAAAAATGACTCCTGTCGTGAGTGCTGCAGGGAGGTGGAGGCTGGGCTTGGGGCAGGGGTGGTGGTGGTCAAAGAAAACAAGTAGAAGTGAATACAACGCCAGAGAGCGCTGTGTTTGGGGGTCCCCAAACAAATCTAAATGTCCGCAATGATTTGCGGTTAGGATGTGAGGTAGGAGAATGGTATCAGAAAGGAATTTCTTCTACATTTATTCCTTGCCATCCTTGCCCAAGAACTGAAATCATTTCCCCACAGCCAGAAAGAACTGTCTTCTTTGTGTGTGTGCAACACACATAGTTTGCAGATCTGGAGAAAAGAGACTGTGCCGTTTTGAATGCAGAGCCTCACACTTCTTAAGGAAGTATCAGTTGTCTCAAAACCAGCAGAGGGAGTACAGTGTTTGAGAAGAGGAATGGCCAACCGGATTCCTAAGGATTCATGTTTAGCCCGGACAATGGTTGTAAAGCTGAGCTATCTACCATACCTTCTGCCCTTGCTCTCCTGTTATTCAGCAATAGTAAACAGAATGAAAAGCTATACTGCCTACTTTAGCTTGAATTAGCCTGTTCTAACAACCGCATGAGGCAGCAGAGAGAAAAGCAGAACTGTCCACACTTCTGCTGGGATACAGTTCCTGTGAGCAGCACTGTTTTGGGGAGAGGAATAGAAATGGGGGAAGGCGGCCGGGCGCGGTGGCTCAAGCCTGTAATCCCAGCACTTTGGGAGGCCAAGACGGGCGGATCACGAGGTCAGGAGATCGAGACCATCCTGGCGAACACGGTGAAACCCAGTCTCTACTAAAAAAATACAAAAAACTAGCCGGGCGAGGTGGCGGGCATCTGTAATCCCAGCTACTCGGGAGGCTGAGGCAGGAGAATGGCGTAAACCCTGGAGGCGGAGCTTGCAGTGAGCTGAGATCCGGCCACTGCACTCCAGCCTGGGCAACAGAGCAAGACTCCATCTCAAAAAAAAAAAAAAAAAAAGAAGTGGGGGAAGGCTCAGTGAAAGGCAGAAAGTCCAATTTGGACTGACAGCAAATACCAAAGCAATGATTTTACCTTAAAATCCAGGGTTCCTAGGCCAGTCTGTGAATAGTTCATTTCCAGAATTTTTGTTTATGAGGGGGCAGAAGGGAGAACTCTGTCATTCAAGCTTTGCTTTCAACAGCTGATTTGAAACAAAAGCAGCACACACATGAAGGCATATGTCTGCTAAATGGTTGCTATCTTAATCTTTAGCCACAGTTTATCAAAACATGTAGGAATGGGTTGAGAAATTAACTGATGCTAAGATTATCAGCATGGACAAGTTCCTGGGGAGGGCCTGGGGACATGATCAAAGCTACTGGTCCCTCTGCCAGGAGCAGAGACCACTATTTCATGCATGATGATGCTGTGCTTTGGCACTGGAAATCTGTGCTCAGGTACATTCTAAGTGTCGAAATCATGTAATTAATGGTTAGTCTGGGTATGCACTATTCAATCAGGCAATTTTTTTTGTTTTGTTTTGTTTACTAAATCCAAACACTAATGCTTTCTCATTGTGGGAAATGACAGCTGGGATGAAGACAAGTTCAACTCAACAGAACAAACACAACATATATGTGATTTTATGTCAGTCTAGGAACTGTGCACTGGTGCACACACAGCAGGCACTGAGTTAACACACATGCCTGCCTGCCGGGTGAAGGAGGGCTGGGCAGGGGAGGGGGGGCCACCCTGGCTGGGGGACGCCAGCTGGGGCCATTGTTGCCACTTTCTTCTCTTTGTAGACATTAAGTTTCACAAAGGGCCGAATGATAAAGGTCCACAAGACCTCATCCAGAATGGCTGTTGCAGGAAGCAGAGGCCTGAGCATCCTGTAGCCAGAAGCCCGGGCAGCGGGTATGCCAACTCCACAGGCCCACATGAAGAGCCTCTGTGAGGAAGATGTTACAGCAATAATTCTCTTAAGTCTCCCAGGGATGAGATCAGGACAATGTATGGAAGGTGAAGTGATGCAGATTTCAGCTTAATAAAAGGAAGGTGGCCCCAAAAATGGAACTGTTTAAAACCACAATGGCTCCATTTAATGGGTTAGATGTCCCCACTCTGCAGGAATGCTGTAGAAGATTCAGGTGGTGAGAAATACCTCAACAGACAAGAAAGCTACTTCAAGCACTTCCTTCGGCAAGGCATTTCAAACAAGTTTTAACATTGAAAACACCCACCCTTCAAAGAGCTTGAAGCCCCAAGTGTAAATCTTCCAGGATGCACAAGACTCCCCAAGCCCTCATCCTCCCATTACTACTTAATGTCCACACTACATTGTTCGGCACTTGGTTTCCCTCCAACATGCACTGTGGCAGCCACTCAGACATCCCAGGGAGCACAACCACAGCTCCCTATTTTCTCCCCATGCTCAATAAGCTCAGTAAATGCTTGATGATTGACTAGTATTAGGAATAAACTAGGAGCATTTTACATTCACCCCATCTAGTTAAACATCCCAAATAACAGATTTCCAGAAAAATGCTGCAACAAATGTAAGTATTTATAGACATGCCCGGTAAGGTATGTAGCATTTGGAGAAATAATAACTAGACTAGAGTACTGTACAAAAGAAAATGGTCCACTTTTGTATGAGTCTAAGATATACTGGACAAATGGGTATTCCTATTTGTAAACACGGACATCTTAATAAAAATACAAAATGACTACATAAAGAAGAATTACATCCTTTAACTCATCTGGTGGCCATAAAATGGACAGAGGCACATGGACTTTTCTCCTGAGTCACCTGATAGATTTACATGATCAAAAGAAATTAAGGGCTTCAAAATTTTTTTTTAAGAGATGGGGTCTTGCTAGGTTGCCCAGGCTGGACTCAAAGATATCCTCCTGCCTCAGCCTCCCAGGTAGTAGGGACTACAGTAGGAGCATCTACCATGCCCTGCTAGAACTTCAAGTTCTGAAGGGCAAATTCACCCCAGAGGATAGAACAAATGCCAGTATTCTGGTTAATAGCCCCAGATGAGCCAGCTTCCCACCCATCCCCAGTAAGGTGGCAGACACATAAGGGAAGCCATCTTGGACCTTTCAGGTCAACCCATCTACTAGGTGATACTACAGAGCGAGCTTTAGACACATGGCATGGAAACAAATGGCCAGTTGAGTCCCACCTAAATTCCTGATCTACAAAATTATTAAAACTATAATGTATATAGTTTTAAGCCAATAAATTAAATATACTAAAAGGTTTTGGTTTTTAGAAATTTATTTAAAAGTTTTAGGGTTTTTCTTTTTAGCCTCACATTATCCAAAACATGTAGAGTTTGCCCCCAGTTCACAGGCTGGGCTTTACTTTGCGAAACTAGCCATGTATCCAGATTCATCGGGCCTGTTTCCTTTAGAACTTAATTATTCTTCCTATTGTTCCACAAATTACAGATTCTCTCCAAATGAAAACACTTCCCTCCACAACTTAAGGCCACAAACCTCTGACCTAATTCAATGTGTCTCATTAGCACATTTGCAAAACAGGGCACTTGTGGGAAGAAGAACCAAGTTCTGATCTCAGAAGTCCTGTGCCTAAGTCAATAATCATCAAGTCCCAAAGGTGCTGGATAGATGCTGCTCCAGCCCTGAAAATAATCAAACACACAAAAGTTACTATTAATATTTCTTG